GGAGTGCAGAAGCAAGATTGCAGTTGCCTGCGGATTGCAGCCCGACGGGTTGGAAACGCAAAAAGATGAAATTCGTGCCTTGCTCACAGAAGTAGTGGAAGCTCTCGGGGCTAAGAAGGCAAGCCAGCCTTCAAGCCGCAACGACGAGCTTGGCGCTGAGTCGCAGAACCCGAGGAGGGCTTACCTAGTCACTTTGTCCCACACAGAGAAGGAAGAAGGTGTGGGCGGCCAGATGTTGGTGGCTCCAGGCACTCACACGCGTGCTGAGGTCAGAGATTTCTTCTTGGGCGCTCTTGTTTCCACCCAAGCAAACAGAGAGCAGCCTCTAGCCTTATGGCCGTGCTTCAGGAGCGCCATGCGTCAGGGCAAATCCATTACCATGTTGCGCTTCTGGCTGACAAATGTTTCCGTTTTCTCCCTTTGAAGCGCCACCTGCTGGCTGCGCACGGCTTGGCCAGCCACTGGTCTGGGAAAACAGATGGATACGCGGGCTGCGTTGCGTATTGCTACTTGCCTTCGCCCACTAAAGCTGTGGAGGAGTTGGATCCAACCCCTGAGCTGTGGCCGGCCACCCAACGTTGGCTGAAGCGAGCAGAGGGTCAGTGAGCGCGAAGAAGTTGGAAGCCCAGCGCGAGGACCAAAGGCGGAGTCGTGCAGCTCAAGGCAAAGCAGAGCAGCGCGTGCGAGAAGTGGATTTGTGGCCCATCGTCATCCGGGAGAACATTGCGCCCGACGAAGTCTGCGCGGAGAAGTTGATGGCCTACGCAAAGCGCAGTGGTGGCCGAGCGCTGGTGGACTTTTGCTTTGCTAACTGGGACAAACTTCCTGGCATTGTGGCCAAGTCATGGAAGACTGAGAAGGTTGAGGATTTTGTCGCAGTGGCCGCGCAGAGCCGCATGGAGAGTCTGGCAGCTTCGCGCAACGCGCCGTGGCGGCGGGCAGTGGGCCGACTTCGCACGCACCACCCTCTCGCAAAACGGGCATGATCCATACGGATTCGCTCTTGGCAGGGCGTTCCAAAGGCAACCTTGTCTGCCATGCAGGCTTTGAGGGAAACGAGGGCAAAAGCTTTCTGTTCCGCCCCTTGCCTCTGGTTTACGGCGAGGACAATGTTTTCGTTTCTCCACCCAAGAGCGCGTTCCCTTTGCTTGGCCTTGAAAAGGCCCGAATGGTTTGGCTGGATGATTGGAGGTTCAATGAGGACATTGTCTCTTGGGCAGTCCAGCTGCTTTGGTTCGAAGGCGCTAGCTTTGTCATTGCTAGGCCGCAGAACCTTTATTCTGGCCATTTGCGCTATGTCAAGGACGATTACCACCTTGCAAGCAGACTTGCACGCCTTGAAGGGAAAGCTAAAGCAGGGCGATGTGGACATGATGGTGAAGCGCTTGCAAGTTTTTGAATTCAAGCAGAAAGTCACCATTCCCAGCCACGTTGCTAAAGGATGCTGCTCATGCTTTGCCCGTTCCTGTTGCAAGAGCCCCCCGTCCTGAAACTGCGAAAAGGGAGGCCACACCATCGGGCGAGACACCTGATGCCAAGAGAATGCTTTGCTTGGCTTGGGCTGTAGATGACGTTTGCAAATTCATCACAAACTTGGAGCTCGGACATGTGGTGGCAGCTTTTCGAGAAAACGCTGTGGATGGCCGCATGCTGGCGTTCTTGGCAGAAGCAGACTTGGTTGATGAGCTTGGGTTGAGGCCTTTACAGGCTCGCAAGGTGCTGAGCCGCTTAACATAGCAATTCAAGACTGACAGCTCATATAAGCATGAAAGCATTGCAGGCGTAAAGGAGCAAGGGGTATACCTTAGCACTCTGACTGCAGAATACCCACCTTCCCTAGCCTTGCAACTTGCCCAGGTAGGCGTAGGACGCGTCAGCGAAACGGGCTCTGTCCGGCAAGCATTGCCGCTGCACTCCGCAGTGCCCAGGATTATTTTCTTAGCGCCGGGCAGGCTCCCGACCTTGGAATGCGCTCGGCTCTGCAATTGCCCTGCCCTCCAGACATGAACCCCGAAGCAGGACAACCGTACAGGCTACATTTGCTGCAGGCCTAGCCAACTCTTGGGGTGACCCAGACATGGCCCTGCTGCCGTTCTTGCAACACTGGGTACCAACAGGTACTGTCTCAGCCTTGCCGCCCAGCCAACAATGGCCGGCCAAAAAGCCGGACACGGCCGTGCCACCAGATCTAGAAATTTGTGAAGGCAACTGGAAAATGGCCGAGGACGAACCAGAGACAGTTCAAAGCCTGTTGCGCATGAAATTGCCAACAACTGGATTGTAGAAACCGGCCTGAGCCTTGCCGGAGCTCGGGAAAAATTGCCTTTAGGTATCGCCGTAGGCAAACTAAACGTGGTCTTTGCAGAAGGAAAAGAGCCTCGCCTTGTTCTGGACAGCGCCGTGTGCCACGTCAACACAAGGTGCCATTTACCAGAGCGCCTTAGCCTGCCAATGGCTTCAGACCTGGCGCTGTCCACGCAACCAGAAGACACTCCAGGTGCCTTCGCGGGGGCAAGTATTGACTTCAAAGCCGCGCGCAAACAGGTGCAGGTCCGTTTGCTTTTCAGGAAAAACTCTACCATTATAGAGTATGCCATTTCGGAGGCAGTTTTTCGGCATTCTGGTGGCAGCGCACTGGTGCGTTTGTACCAAGTGCGTGGGCTGTTGGCTTGGAAGCCCCACAAAGCCTTCCTTTTCGTGGACGACCTGCTGTGCGCACTCGTCCGAGACAGCGCCTCGGAAATGTTCGCTTTGGTTCTGTTCTTCTGCGCAATTGCTGCGCCCATTTCACGGAAAAAGGCGCAGTTCCAGGACAGCCTCATTTGGTGTGGCTGGGAGATCAACTTCTCCCACGATACCATTCAGCTCGTGTCCGCTAAGCTGATGAAGCTGGACGCCTTAATCAAAGCACTGCTGGGAAGCAAACGAGCGCTACGTAAGACACTCGAGCAGTGCATAGGCCTGCTCATTTGGGCCACCAGTATTGCCTTGCGTCTCAGATCTTGGCTAGCGCCGCTATACTCTGATCTCAACAGCCCTCCGGGCTCGATGCGCTCAATACCACCACAAATGTGGTCAGCCTTCAGAGCCTCCTTGAACAAGGGCCTCAAAACCAGCCATAGCCTTCCCAGCCTTTGGATTGCAGCGGGGAAATTTCGGGCCGCTCAACCCGACATCGCCATGGCAGCCAGAATATCTGGCTGCACCTGTCAGCAGCTTCGCAGCAAGCCGCTTTGACAAAAATAAGCAGTCCCTGAGCAGCAGATGCTCATAAGCATGAGAGTGCAATGTCTTACAACGACTGCCCTGCCAGGTACAACCCCACTCTGAAGGGGGGGTGATGAGGCCGGCGGCCCAGCTGACTCGCCTATACCGGGGCCAACGCACCTCCTGCTCCAGGCGCATCCGTGCCCTGGAAGCAGTGCTACTTTCAGCAATCCCGGTTAAAAGAACTGCGGCCGTTTCGGACTTGCTTTGTTCTTTTGGGTGGTCTGGTTGGGTCCAAGATAGGAGCAGTGCAACATGCCTTAACGCTTAGGGTTTTCTTTTCCCTTGTGTTTAGGGCGTGTTGTGAATCTACTTCCGCGGTGGCCGTTTTGCTCCTAGCCTTGACCCAAACTTGATCTGTTTCATTTGAAACCCAACCCACCCGCCCTGCATGGCCTTTTTTACAAGGCTCTGCAAGGGAAGTTGCAACTTCCATTCAGGGTTTCCGGACCTCTAGGTCTCCGGACCGCCCAAAGTCTCAGGACCACCAGGTCTCCGGACCGGCGTGGGCACGCCTGCCACGCCTTGCGCGCACTGCACGCACCTGCAAGGACACGCACTGTCTTGCCTTTAAGTTTCACGGGGGGTCAACGCACCTCCTGCTCCAGGCGCATCCGTGCCCTGGAAGCAGTGATACTTTCAGCAATCCCGGTTAAAAGAACTGCGGTCGTTTCGGACTTGCTTTGTTCTTTTGGGTGGTCTGGTTTGGGTCCAAGATAGGAGCAGTGCAACATGCCTTAACACAAGGGTTTTCTTTTCCCTTGTGTCTATAGGTCTGGGGTGAATCTCCTACGCCGCCGCCATTTGGTGCTCCTAGCCCTCAAACTCACGTTTAGGACTCGCAGTCCTGGTTTCGTTTGAAACCCACCCACTGCTTAGGCCTACCGGACAGCCCTCCCCGCTGGGAGCCCTCCGGACATGAACTGGGAGCGCACTCTCAGCTTCATACCAGGGCCCAGGCCCGCGGTCTGGCCTTGTTGGCGTCTCTGGACCCGCAGGTCCGTTGATGCGGGCGTGGGCACGCTTGCCACGCCCCCCATTTGGCATTTTAATGCAAGGACACGCTTGTCTTGCAACCTTGTTTTCCGCAAGGGGGGGGAACATTTCGCCCCTTGTCCTAGGTGCACCGCAGTGCCCTAGGAAAGTGCCACCTTCCCAAGCAACCCGGTAAAAAGGTGTGCGCCTTGCTGTCGGCTTTTGGGTTCTGGGTTCTTTGTGGTTTGAGGCTAGGAGCAGTGCGCGGGACCTCTAACGGCAAGTGGCGAGCACTTCGTGTTCACCCGGCTCGGGCTTTTGTGCGCGTGCAGCTTTCGCTTCAAGGGGGGGCCCAGGAAAGTTAGGGGATTTCGGGGACCTAGGGGACCTGGGGGAGTTGGACCCCAGAACCCAGAAACCCAGGGACCCCAGAAACCTGAGGACCCCACAAACGCCAGGGACCCCAAAAAATCCAGGGACCCCAGAAACCCCCGCCCTGCAGGGCCCGACAGCTTGTGACTTCCGCGGTGCCGATTTCGGTTGCTTGTTTTGCAGGCAGGCCAGTTTGGTATCTCGTTCATTGGACTTTGATGCAGCGGCAGCAGGTCAGTGACGGATGGACGGCGCGAAGCCTTGCAAGGCTTGGCCCGACCGACCTTCAGGCCGCGAGTGGAGCAAAAGGAGGAACATCCAAACCCCTACATTGGTGTTGCCAAAGAAGCCACTCAATCTTGCGTTTGCTCTGGAAACTTGGCTCGAGGGTACTCATCAACACTGACACAACAACAGCTCGCAATTGTTGCCCGATGGGTCTTTTGCCAGTGCTTGAGGAATCGCAGGCCGCTCAAGCGCTTTTCGAATAGCCATGGCGATGATGCGGACCAGGACAAAAAGCCGAGGCTGGCAAGCTTGTGACGCTACCGTGCCCGCGGTAGGCAGCGGCCAGGTATGTGCCTCTGCCTCGGGATCGCGTTGGCGCTGCTCCTGCAGCCGAGCACGGCCTGGGTCTTGGGACACATTTTTTTCTCGAAAACTTTCGGGTTTCAGGAGTCCCTTCTCGATTCTCAAGACTTTGCGCGAGGAGTTCCTGGGCTGAAGGACCATGATGTCCCTCCCTTGAATGTTCCTGTTTCGTGCTGCCGTGCCAGGACAGCATATTGGCCCAGTTCTCAGAGTTGCCCGCATTCGCAAGCAAATTTCACTTTTGCTCTCTCAGGTGGCAAAACGGCACCCGTTGCATGCCGGAGTCGCTCGGCGCGCCCGGCCTGCGCAAGAGGACTCCTCCGACCCGAAGCCTGTTCGCATCTTTTGCCGGTTGCCGCCAGAACGACATTGCCGAGGCATGGGGGACACGTGCATCAAGCTTGAACGCTGGGCTTCTTGGCTGCCAGGACCGGCTGGATCTCGAGAAGGCGGCGGACCTTCAGAGAAAGCGACGTCCCAGCCTTGTCTCGCTCAGGTGGTCGCAGAAGCCAAACGGGTTGTGGACAACGGCACGCTGAAAGACATGCGAGTGGTCATTCGCCGCTTTAGCAGCACGTCAATACGTTCGTTGTGGATTTTCAGGCGCGGTTGAGCTCAGGAAGAGTGAAGCTGGTAGATCCAGCAGGGAAGTGGAAGGTTCGGGTTAATAAGCCCGAGTTGGAGAAGCAGCTGCGGAAGTTTGTGGCGGAGGCAGCAGTGTTTGCTTCCTTTACCAACAGGTCAGATTCACAAGCGTTTTCGTGACATTTTCAAAATGCACGTTTGTTGTGGGTGCTTTTCAGGCCAAAGCAGCCAAAACGGCATTGGAGGAGGCCGTCCGTTCGAGCGCGTTCGAGCGCTTTCGAGCGCTCGGCATGGGAGTCGGCCCGGGCAGGACCTGCTCCTGGCGCGACAGCAGCGGAAGACGGCCCAGCGGCAGGTTGAGAGCGCCCAGCGGCAGGTTGAGACTGCCCAGGAGCAGGAAGCAATGGCGGTGAGGCGTCTCGCTGGAGCTGCCACCGTTTTGGAGACGGCGGAGGACTCGGGCAATGCGACAAAGGTGCAGGAGGCGGAGAGGAAGGTGGAGAAGGCGAAGAAGGAGGTTCAGGAGGCGAAGAAGGAGGTTCAGGAGGCGAAGGTCCAGGAGGCGAAGAAGGAGGTGCAGGAGGCGGAGAGGAAGGTGGAGAAGGCGAAGGAGGAGGTCAAGGAGGCGAAGGCAAGCGGCCGGACGAAGGAGTCCGAGGCGGGCTGAGTCGGTCGCTTCCGCCGGCCGGCTGCGTTCTGGGACGTTGGTCGTTGCGTGCGGTTTTGGAAATTCCCCCGCGCGGCCCGCAAATGCTTTTGGTGGGGCTGCCCTGATCAACACCCACAGAAGCAGGAAATCCCAAGATAGCATTTGTGCAGATTGCGGCGGTTCGTGTCGTTGGCAGGCTCGGTATGGAGCCCCCCATGAACGGATGGTTGCCATTCCTTGCCATTCGGGGATGTCGGTCATTCCTGCCGGTCAACATTGATTGAGACGTGCCGTTGATCCTTGTGAGTGATTTTGTCATTGCCTTCAGCTTGCTTTTCAAAGAGCAAGACCTGCCCTTCTGCCGTCGGGGAGAGGGAGGGCAAACTCTGATGTCTTTATGTCTCTGCACCCATTGGGGTCCTGGCTGCTGAAGGCCCAAGTGCATTCTGTGAATGTTCTCTTTGATGCAGTGAGTTCAACCATACATTCCCGGCTTTGCATCCACGGGCAGAGTTCCTGTTCGATGGTTTGGCCCGTTGTGCTGCCATTCCATCCCCTTCTATTGTTCAATTTTAGATGTACCTGCTCATATCTGCCTGATTTGAAATTCTTTTGCTGAGGCGGAGCCACCCGACTCGATAAATCCAACAATTGCTGATGTCCTTACACTCCTCCGCACCCGATTTTGGAGACAGGCACGGAGCAGTTGGTGCGAGAAGTTGCTCGCGAAGAAGTTGAAGTTTGGAGCAGCCGACCAACTGCTTGCAACAGTTGGGGCCACATGGGACTATTGTGGGAAGGAGGAGCTCCGTGAGCGCATGCAGATCCCCATCCAGAAGCTGCACGAGCAAAAGGGGAAGAACAGTGACAAACAGCTTCATCCTTTGTTCATTGCATTTGCAGGCCCAGGGCAAGGCAAGTCCCGGTTGCTGACAGAGTTCCCGGGCCTGGTCGAGCAGTGCTTGCAGAATGTGTCTGAAAGGCAGAAACTGAAATTCAGCAAGCAAACGACGAGCTTCATGATCAGCTGCGAGAACGCCCTCACTCCCGGGGACTGGGCCACGGAGGAGCTCAATGCCCAACGCTTTGTGGCATGCCGCATGCTGTGGCAGCTGAGGAATGCAAACAAGGAGGCTTTTCGGGAGGTCGGCGCTCCAGCAGACTTCGCCGAATTCCGCATCCAATGCCCTGCCGACCTCACACCCTCGCCTGTGCTTAAGTCTGTGCTGCGTGATGAGCTCAATAGCACGGTGGTGATCGGAGTCGACGGGATGCACGGTCTGCCTGGATTTACTGACCGCAGTGATGCTGTGGGCAAGGACCTGCCATTCTATCAGGTGATGCAGGCGGTCTGCCGCCTCGTCAACCAAAAGGAAGGCCCCTTTGTCGTAGCCTGTGTGGCCGCTTTGCAAAATGTGAAGAGTGGACTTGCTGGCAGTCCCCAGGCCCGAGTTTTTCTGGAGCTGCCACGCGTGACCGCCGTAACCCGCAACAAACAGCCGGTGCTGCCCGGCCACCGCCTAAAAGACCTCCTGGTCGAAGACATGGGCGGGCATGGCAGAGCTTTGGAGTGCCTTCTAGAGGCCTTGATGGAGATGCCCAACGCTGCAGCAACTGCCTTGGTGGGTGCAGTTATGAGACAATTGAGGCAGAAGTATCCTGACGCCACTCAGATGGAGCCGGGTGCAGACCTCAAGGAACTGCTTCGCGCAGCTCTGTCAGGCAGATGGATTTTGTCTGGCGAAATGGTCGGCAATCTAGATCCTGAGAAGGTGGAGCTTATCCGCGTCAAGTTCAAGGACGGCGACTCCTCGCAGTACCGCATCGACTTGCCCTACATTTGGTTGCACTTGATGCTGAGTTCGCCTAAGTTCTCTGACGATTTGCAACCGTGGAACTTGATGGACTACCACTTGTTTGAGTCAGAACCAACCTGGCAACAGTGGGAAGAATTCAATGCCAGGTTTCGAGTGTTGCGAGCGTCTGCGTTTGAGGATGGACAAGTAGTTGACATTGCCGATCTACACAGGGGTGCAGTGATCCAGCCTGACAGCTTGAAAAGCACCAAGGTCATCAACCGGCATCTGCAATTTGCCAAATCCGGGACGTTGACTGACAAACGTGTTTTAGAGGTGAATGCCGCCGGAGCTCCAGCTGCTGATGCCTTTCTCATGTTGGAAGAGGTGGGGGCAGAGGGCAACCATCACACCATCTCTGAATGTTTGCAATGCAAGAAGGGCGAGTCTCGATTAGAAGCATGCGACAAAGCTGACATCCTGGTGCTTTTGATGACAACGACAAAGACTGTGCCACAAAGCGGCGGACAGCGCTTGATCTTCGTATCTGAAGCGCAGTACCAGGAGTACTTTGGCTTCTACGCTGGTAGAGCCTTCTATCAAACCAGGGCGGCCAAACCTTGAAGGCTGAATTGTTGCTGCTGTGCCATTTCCTGGCCTAGAATTGGATCTCGGGGCTCAAAGAATTGCGGAGCATGAGGAAAACAAATTCTAGGTGCAGAACGAGCAGATTGGGGAACCGAGGAAGGCCATGGAACGATTTAGGGTGTTGAGACCTTTTGTTTCCTTTTCTCAATGCTTGCATTTTGAGGGCAGCCGGTGAGTGACGAATCAAACGCATGAACATGTGGAATTGGCTACATGTGATTTGGCCCCAAAGCCCATCAATATGCTAAGACATGTTTTTTTCCTTGTGCTGGCCTCGGCCTCCTGGGCTGCCCCAAGAAGTCGTCCAGCTGCCTTGCCGCAGCGGGCCGGCCGCGCCTCGTCAGCCTGCCCGCGGCGTTGCCGCTGCCCTGGGGCGCCGGCAGGGCCTCCCGCCCCTCGGTGCTGCGGACCGTCATGGAGTCCACGGCCTGCAGCCCCATACTGGGGGTTGAAGCTGTTGGTGGGAGCCCTGAAGGCCCCCGCGTCCTCTGGCCTTGATGCGGCGGTCGGTCAGATCCTTGTTGTGCTGGAACTTGTCCACGTTGTTTTGCAGCAGCCGGAACTCGGTGGCCGGCTGCCGCTCCACGTCCTCTAGGGCCCCGTAGACCGTCTCGTGCGGCTCCTTCTTCAGGGTCTGGATGCCCCGGTCGATCACGGCCGTGGCGTTGCGGTCCTCGGGCCGCTTGGTGCGGTGCTCCTCGGGCAGCTCCCGGTCCAGGGAGGCGAACTCGTTGCCCAGGTCTGTGGTGACCACGAAGTTGCGCTCCTCGGCCCGCTTGGTGGCCTGGCCCACGGCCTCGGCGCTCTTGCTCTGCAGCGGCTCCACGGCCGCCTCCCTGGTGATGGTGAAGACGTCCATGACCACGAGGCCGTACTTGGTCTTCCTCTTGGAGTCGATCAGGTCGGCCTGCAGCGGGTCGTTGGGCCCCTCCGCGGCGGACTTGCCGAGGGCCCTGGGCCGCGGGGCCTGCACGACGTGCAATACTTCCCCAGCTCGCTGAGCTCGTTCCTCACGAGGTGGAGGCCTGTTGGCCGACTACCGGACGGCGAGCGCAGACGCAGGCAGCCATCGCGGGCGCGCTGCTAGCCTACCGGACGGGCCCGGGCCAGGACGTTTTCACGACCAACCACTGCTTGGCTGCCGACCAGGACACGGCAACGGCTTTGAGCCTCGCAGCCGCCCTGTTGAGCTGAATCACCATTGCGCAGATGGACGGCCTCCTAGCCGGCAAGCTGGGAGTCACGGAGGCAGCCTGGAGATAGCCGCGCGCTTCCCGGACGATGGAGGGGTGGACGAGGCGGTGGCCGCCGTCGGGGAGCAGATCCTGGGTCCCACGGACGTCTTGCCGCGCGAGGTACAGCTTTCACGCGGCTTTGCAGCCGCTTGCGCACGCCCGGCGCAACCTGTCGTCCAATTCGGGCCGGTTGTACTGCTTCGGCTCCACGGCGTCGAAGAGCTGCTGCAGCTTGTCGTGACTGGCGTCGGCCAGTTCCGTCTTCACGCGGCTGTCCGAGAGGTCGGTGAAGCTCGTGTTGCAGACCACGTTGCCGGTGTTGCCTGCTATCACGAGGCAGCCGGGGTTGCGGTCGGGGAGAGCTGGGTGCTCAGGCTCTTGGTGGTCAGCAAAGCTTCGTCGTTGAGCATGATGAGCTCGCAGCGCCCGAGTCCCTGCTGAGGAAGACCGGGCGCTCTGGTTCCCCACCATCCGCACCTCGGGGCCGCTGTTGGCCAGGGCGCTGTTGTTGTTGATCGTCAGGCCGGCGTGTTGCTGGCGTAGAGCTGCGGCGCCGTCACGGTGCCGGTGCTGTTGACGTTGCCGCAGGCCACGGTGCCGGTGGAGACGCTGCCGCTGCTCATGGCGAAGGTGCAGGTGACGCTGCCCGAGCTGACGGCTCCGCCGCCCACGTCCAGGGAGGTGCCCACCAGGGTGTTGGTGGAGGTCACGGCTCCGCAGGACAGGTCGCCAGTGGACGCGGCGCCGCTCAGTCAAGGTGCCAGCCAAGACATCGTCTACAGTGTTGAAGTTGCCCGCTGTGGCGGTGTTGGTGACGCTGAGCGCGCCCCCTGCCGGTGGCAGAGACGCTGGCTCCTATTTTGGTAGTTGCTTTTTGGCTCCTAAGACGGTTTCCGTGCTGTAGAACACATGAGGGCGCAGAAGGCGCGCGCTCTCGACTCTTGTTTTTGCAGCTGTTTTTCAACTCCCAAACTGGAAGTTGTGTTTGCTGACCTTTTGGGAGGCCTTCGCGTACTTCCGTTGGGTGAATGGAGCTCTTGCCCAGAGTGACAAGGCGCCTTTGATCATCAACGTGGACGAAGCTTCTCTGGCTTTGCATTTGACTGGCGTGGTTGGCACCGTGCTGAAAGCAAGTCGGCTTAGCCGACTGCAGCCTGGAGACCGAGCCAAACTTAGCGCTCGCAGGGGGGCTCTCACTCACATAGCTTCTATTTGCAACGACCCTGCCTTCAACGATGTCTTGCCACAGATATTGCTGGGAAACACTCGGCAGTTCATCTTAGGGACCCTGCAAACTGCGCAGGCTGAAGCGCCGGCAAATGTGTATCTGTGGAGGGAAAAGAGCTCTTGGAACAATACAAGACTTATGCAGAAATACATCCAGCTCCTTTGCCACCTGCTAGGAGGAGCTTTGCAGGAACGGACTGTCCACCTTGTAGTCGACATGGCAGCCTGCCGCACACACCCAAGCGTTCATTCTTGCGCCTTGGAGAAAGGATTGCGAATGATATTGGTTCCAGCAGGAATGACAGGGGTTTTGCAGCCCTTGGACGTTTATGTCTTCAGGCAATTCCGCTCAAAAATACAGGAGCTCTGGCTTGAGTGCAAAGAAAACGCGAAGGACGGCGAAGTAACTTTGCTGCTTTGGTTGCGAGTTGTCTGCGGCGCGATACAGTCAATAATTTCTGGAAGGCCTTGGCAGAATGCTTTCCAGCGCACGGGCTTGATGTTAGGGCAGAGCCTTCTCTCCAGCCAAATTTTGAAAGCTTTAGATTGGAGCTCTTGCCCAGCAGTGCCTGACACGCTGCCCGCAGTTGGTCAAGCGTCGGCCATGTTTCCCCGTAGGTCCCGAATCATTGGACGCCTGCCTTGGAGTTCACCCGTGTTCAGACATTGGATTGACGCGAAGCTTGAAAACAGTAGGTGTTCGCGAGACGCGTCGCTGCGTCCGCAAGCATCCGCAAGCGTCCGCAAGCGTTCGCAAGCGTTCGCAGAGGGTCCGCGAGTGGAACATATGGCCGTGCCGTCAGAATTGCTGTGAAATGCGACGTTTTAATGAAACTTGAAGCGCTGAGTTCGTTGCGCTTGTGCGCGAATCGTGTCTTTGCAGCCACGCCTGTTGTTTCGCTGCGCAGGCGCAGTGTCTTGGATGTCGCGTGTTCGCATTGCCGCGCCGTTGCGATTTGCGTTTCAGGGGTGGTTGTTTCAGCAGCTTTACCACCAGCGCAGAGCGCCGCTGCCGCGGCCGCATTTTGACTGTGTTTGGGGACACGCGCGCGTTCATGTCGCAATGCCTTGAGGCCGAGACATAGGCGACGCCCTGTGGTTAGCTGTGTTGCGTGTGTAACTTGCTGAAAAAATACAGGCGCTGGAAACTCAGCGATGTTTGCGACTTGCTTAGGTGTTGGTCGTGGACAAAAAGATGCCTGCAAGGCCCGGCTGCCTCTATTTGTTCAAAGTCTGTTGAGCTGGCAGTTGCGTCATGTGTGTCTCAGACCCAGCGTGCTGCAAGATTTTCTGACGAAGGTGGGTAGACGGTGCAAAAGCCACTAGGGTGTTGGGCGCATGGACCTCCAAAGGCCTGCTGATGCGGCGTTGCCGGTGGTGGCCCAGCTGGAAAATGCTGGCGCCGCCTGCCAGATGAGGCCACCTTGCGGCAGGCAGCGACGCAGCTTGTGACTGAGTTGGACCTCCACCAGTGCAGCGTCAAGGAGTGCAGAAGCAAGATTGCAGTTGCCTGCGGATTGCAGCCCGACGGGTTGGAAACGCAAAAAGATGAAATTCGTGCCTTGCTCACAGAAGTAGTAGAAGCTCTCGGGGCTAAGAAGGCAAGCCAGCCTTCAAGCCGCAACGACGAGCTTGGCGCTGAGTCGCAGAACCCGAGGAGGGCTTACCTAGTCACTTTGTCCCACACAGAGAAGGAAGAAGGTGTGGGCGGCCAGAAGTTGGTGGCTCCAGGCACTTACACGCGTGCTGAGGTCAGAGATTTCTTCTTGGGCGCTCTTGTTTCCACCCAAGCAAACAGAGAGCAGCCTCTAGCCTTCACCAGCGTGGCCGTGTTTCAGGAGCGCCATGCGTCAGGGCAAATCCATTACCATGTTGCGCTTCTGGCTGACAAATGTTTCCGTTTTGTCCCTTTGAAGCGCCACCTGCTGGCTGCGCACGGCTTGGCCAGCCACTGGTCTGGGAAAACAGATGGATACGCGGGCTGCGTTGCGTATTGCTACTTGCCTTCGCCCACTAAAGCTGTGGAGGAGTTGGATCCAACCCCTGAGCTGTGGCCGGCCAATCACCCAACGTTGGCTGAAGCGAGCAGAGGGTCAGTGAGCGCGAAGAAGTTGGAAGCCCAGCGCGAGGACCAAAGGCGGAGTCGTGCAGCTCAAGGCAAAGCAGAGCAGCGCGTGCGAGAAGTAACATTGCGCCCGACGAAGTCTGCGCGGAGAAGTTGATGGCCTACGCAAAGCGCAGTGGTGGCCGAGCGCTGGTGGACTTTTGCTTTGCTAACTGGGACAAACTTCCTGGCATTGTGGCCAAGTCATGGAAGACTGAGAAGGTTGAGGTTTTGTCGCAGTGGCCGCGCAGAGCCGCATGGAGATTCTGGCAGCTTCGCGCAACGCGCCGTGCACTTGCGGCGGGCAGTGGGCCGACTTCGCACGCACCACCCTCTCGCAAAACGGGCATGATCCATTGGAGTGGTGCAAGGCTGTGACGGATTCGCTCTTGGCAGGGCGTTCCAAAAGCAACCTTGTCTGCCATGCAGGCTTTGAGGGAAACGAGGGCAAAAGCTTTCTGTTTCGCCCCTTGCCTCTGGTTTACGGC